TAACAATTAATATAATTTAACTTAGTCACTTATGATTTGTTTAGACATTTACAAATGGAGGTTGAACTATGATTGTACATATATCATACAACTTAACTACATCATTTCTAACTTGTTTAATCATCCGTAGTAAATATGTAATGTTTACCTTTTTATACAATTCGAAGTGTCGTGGGAATACTACCATGATGAATTCATCCCTAGTTACCGACATCAAATGAATATTTCGAACTAAAGATAATCGATTTTCCAACCACAGGTTACCGGGGCATATATACTCGTCACTGAAGCATATGAGACTATTGTTATAGATACGTAAGATCTGTGCCAGGGTATAGAGATTTTTTATGCAGGTATGTAAGTACATTATCCAGGTACAAACACCGACTAATGAGGTATAATAGTGGTTGCTTAGGTATTATTTGTGTAGTACCAGGTATCCTCGAATTTAGTTGATTTCAGTCAATCCCATGTAGAGGGACTGATTCACGAACTCGTTGACAACATTTTTTTTCTCAGCCTCGGTGGACCGAATGTTGTTGTGTGTGCTACGGTATGAATTACTATATAATATATTTAAATAATAATCAATCCATGTGAGCAATAATGTATGATAGTATTTCCTCATTGAATTCTTTTAAACATGTACTATTTGCATGTTAATACTTTTCAAAAATTGATAAAAATACTATCTTGTTTAATTCATCCCCGGTTACCCATAGTTCCATTGTTTATCTTTTCATATAGTTCTAGGATTTGCGAGAACACTATAATGATGAATTCATATATGATTACCGAAAACAATTGAATGTGTCGAATTCAGAATTATCGATTTCCAAGAACAAGTTACCAGGGCATAGATACTCGTTATTGAAGCATATGAGATCGTATTATCGGTACGTAAAAACTACGCCGGGGTATGTTGGTATTTCATCCAGGTATGTAACAATGTGTTCTAGGTACGGGTATTGACAATCAAGATATGATTGGTGACTACTTAGGTATTATTTATGTAGTAGCAGGTATCTTTAAATATGGTCGACTTCACTCAATCCCTTGACGGATGAGGCAATTAAAGAACACGGTGAAATCCCTTCTTCTATTAACACTTCTTCACTTCATTGGTGGTTGAGAGAAATGGCAGCGATTGGGAGAGCATAAACCTTCGTAGTACATGTATGTATTTTTCTTTCTTAGGTGCACCACTAATGTACTCAGGTATCCGTAAATGCATTTTTGTTCATTGCAGACATTACTTCAACCATCCAAGGTCTTGTAACAAATTAGTTACTTTCAATTTAAGAGAAGTATGCATAAATTTTCTGGCTCGTTGCTATCTTCGTACAAGGATAACTTTCTTAACTAATGAGTAACATGTATGAGCATATATATGAATTTTGAAGGTATTTCGATCTAATTAGACAGGTACATCGTTCCCCTGTAGAGGTACAATATATGCATTATTGCAATTCTAAACATGTGAAGAATTAATCATACAATCATTCACGGCACAATTCATAGCATTACTCAAAACATTAATTTTTAGCAAATTTAACCTACGATTCAATCCCTCAATCAATCTTAATAGAATCTCATCGAACACGAGACCAATCAAACTACTTCAACCAACAATTCAATCCGAAAATAACACATTACCCAAATCAAACACAAACAACACAATCCAAAAAAATCCCAAATCCATCCAAATTCATTACAGACGTTCAGTTACCCTGTGCTGCTCATCGGAGTCTATGGTTTGAATGACGGACCTTTCAGTATTCTGACCGCAATTTTACCGTAGTAGCTCTTCACATTATCAAACTCGTCGTCGATGCTACCATTGTGATGGACTGCCGGATTTGCGTGGGCGTAACCCTTGGTGAACATATGGACCGCACTCGAGAGTGACACCTTGATACCGACATCTTACGTACTCGGGCATCTTCCTCACATAGGCCATAGATGTACTGCATTCAAGTACAAGCATAAAAACCATGTCTACAAAAATAACACAATATTTTGTTACGTAATTCGGTTTATTTACAGTTAATTAATTATATTTATTTAATAAATGCACTAATTTTTCCGTGTTCCTTTGTTCGAACGGATCATGGAGTGAATTGCACTCAATCACAACTCGACCATCAGTCCATAATATCTAAATCTCGAATTTATTTAAAAACTTATCATAATATATCAGGAGTATGTAACAACACATTCCGAGTACACAATAGTTTTCTAAAAGTGTACTTTTAGCAAACTAGACCTAAAAGATGCAACTTGATGTACCTAACAATACCACATTTTTAACCCACAATCATAACTAATTACCGAACAATCAAACAAAAAAACTAGAATATGCAACTCCGGGTAACTAAAAAAAATGTACATTTACAAAATTAACAAAAATCACGAATTAAACAAATAAAATCGCCAAAAAATGGTGCGAAGTAAAACACCCAACCCAATCTACGTGGACAATATACAAACGATTTCAAACTCAAATAACAAACACAACAACGCCAATCACCGAAGACTCCTTAATACCGAACCGAGACATACAAACACGAGACCAAGACTTATACCCCAAACAATTGAACAAATTACAGTATAAAATACTAATGTCAACAAATTAAAAATTGAAAAACATCCGACCAGACACTTACTTCTTCAAGCTTGTCCCGGGGATGAGAGCAAGTTTGCTGTTTTTTTTACTATTTTTGCACCGATCGGTCGCTACTTGATCGTTGGGGGTTGAAGAACATCGGTTCGCCTAAAGATGAAAGAGGTAGGGTTTAAAATTGGGGTGAGGGGAGTATGAGAGGTTTCCTGCCTCAATCCCTATTAAATCGTGGGTAATTTTTCTTTTTTTTTTTATTCGCGAGAAAAAAAAGGTACACGATATTTAACTATAAGTATATAAGGTTATAATTGGGGTAGAGCGGGAAGTAATGTAGGTATATATTACAACATTGAAAGTATTAAACAACCTATTTCAAGTACCTGATGCGTATACAACATTAATTGAGGGGAAAATACAAATTAGGGAGCTATAACATACCTAATTCATAAAGTAGAGACTGCAGTCTAATAAATATTCAATAGAGACTGAATTGCAACTAGATCTATCTAACAGAGATTTTAATCCAGCTTTCCCAAAAATATATGCAATATGAATATTATTTTATGGAAAATAAAATTTTTATTATACAAGTAAATAAAAAATATATTTATTTATAATTAACATAAACTAATTTTATAAAAGATGTGAAGTTTTAAAGGTAGATAAAAGTATTTGTTTTTTTAAGCGATAGAAATAAATGGATTTTGAGTAAGTTCTACCTATAATACTCTATTTGTCCCGCATAATTTGTTCATATTTTATATTTTTGTCCGTCCCACATAATTTGTCATTTCTTTATTGGAAATATGATTATACATTTTAATCACATTTTAAATTTTATAATTTTTTTAATCTTACTTAAACTATTTAGTTATCTTAATCTTAATTTATAATAATTTCTACTATTACACTTTTTAATTATTTGCTAATTATATTTTACCTAAATTTTCGTATCTACAGTAATACACCCAAATTACATGGGAAAAGAGGAGTATTATGGAGTATTACGTAGTTAATTAAGTTAATTTATACTCCCTTCGTCCACTTATAATGTTTACATATTTCTATTTTGAATCGTTCAATTACAAAGTTAATATTTCATTAAATACCTTTTTTTTTTCAAATACTTTACTTTACATCACATCTTTATTTTTACACAAAAAAGTAAAGGCAAAAATGTCATTACACTACCTTTAACTACTCACTATAATTAAAATATTATTATTTATTAAACACTGCGCCAAAAGTAAATGTAAACATTGTAAGTGGACGGAGGAATTTGGAAATTCTTGAACGTATAAAATATTTAGATGGTATTGTTGGGAAAATTTTGTTACATAGAATCGACACGTATTCTACTTTAATCTTTCACAGTGTGATATATTTATATTTTTATCGTTTCAATAATCAAATAGTTTTATGTATATTTAAAATTTTCATTTTTTATAAAACTAATTTATACTAATTATTAATAATATAATTATTTTTTTAAATTTTTATACAAAATGCTATTCATATTAGATACTTATAATTTAGTAATATATAATTTTTTAAAAGTTAAATTATATAACATACCATCGTGTTTTAGCGAGAATGTAAAATTTGCATAGAACATCTATTTCGTTCAAAATTGATATTTGGTTATAAATATGAACTTAATTATACATATTTTATATAGATAAACGAGGTAAATATAGTCAATAGTCATTTTTAATATAATAAATAAGTAATATCAATTAAATCTCAGATTTATAGTTTTTTGGAGATAAATAATTTTCTGTATAATTTAAATTCGTATATACGATTAAATATTAGTTTTGGACGAAAAAGGTGTTAGGTGCAAACTCTATATTGACACAATGGATTTCCACGCAATGTTTACTAAGATGTGACGGAATAGACTTGGATGAATCTCAATCCGAATGATGGACCCGATCTCTAGTACTGAAGATAGAAGGGGAAGGGGAATCCATCTTATATAATTTACCATATTTTTAAATATTTAAACATATTTTACTTTTTCAATTATATATATATATATTTCTTTAACTATCGACACATCGCTTACATAAAAATAAAATAATATCATAATTTACTATCGTTAACATAGAGCAGGAGTTTATTTTTAAATATTTTATAACAAAATAATATATTTTTATTGAAAAAAAAATCACAGTAAATATTAAAAGTAATAAATAAATAATTAATATATATAAAATCAATAATATAATTTTTCTTTGTAAGATAAATTAACTATAGATGAATAACATCAAAAACTAAAAAAAAAAAAAAAGTTATGGTTTTCTAAATATTCTTGCTCTCTCCTTTTAAATGTTGCTTGCTGCATGAGAAGAAGAGAAGTAAACAACAATTAATGTTATAATCACAGTCATATTCAATAATTATTGATAATTGATATTGATATTGATATTAATATTAATATGCATAACAAGCAAACATCACAATAATACAACACCATCAAACAAATTCCACTCCTTTTATCTTCTCTCTCTCTCTGTGTATAAATTAAAATTACTAATAATAAATATGAGTTAGAGTTAAGAGAGTTGTTAAAAGAGTTACTAGTTGCTAGGAGTCGCGCGGGCCGTCGGACGACTGAGTCTTCCGGAGGTTCCAATGGAGAACGTCCTGGATGCTGCGCAGGAAGTCGCCCGTCGAGTCCACTTGGCACGCCGTCGGAACAGGCCACGGCGCCATGCTGCACACCAGCGCGTCTCCCGACCCCAGCTGCTTCCGCCCCTTCCCATCGAAGGACACCCACGCATGGCTTCGGCTGTTGAACGGCACCACCACTCTCAGCGTTACGTGCTCTGGCAGTATCAGTGGCCGGAATGATAGCGAGTGCGGGCATATCGGCGTGAACAGAATTCCCGGAACCTGCAATTGGAAAGCTCGATTACCAGAGAAATTTTCGACTATAAATCAAGTCAAGGTAAGCTCAATTAGACCTAATAGATGAACAAGTTGAATTAACTCAGCTCGGCTCGACTAGACTATTAGCTCTAATTTTCCACCTCTGAAATTAGATATTCGACTGTTTAAAAAGGAGCCGTGAAAGAGTGTATAATTTACCTGTGGATGGACCATTGAGCCTCCGGCAGCAAGAGAATATGCGGTGCTACCAGATGTTGTCGACAGTATAAGACCATCGCCTTGCACGCAGGTGACAAAGGAGTCGTCGGAGTAGCATTCGAGATTCGTCAGGAACGATGAGATCCCACGGTCAATTGTTACCTCATTCAGGACAAGAATGGGGCCCTCGTTCTCATACTCACTTTTCGCTTCATCCCTGATGATGTGACACTGCAACCGATGCCTTAATGTGATGCTCATGGGACCTCGAAGGATTGAATTCAGGTAATCACGATAATGTTCACTGTCTGATTTTGTTAAAGAATAACTCAAAAATAAGTCAAAAGCATTTTTCACAAGATCTTTCCAGACATGTTCCAAATAACAGGCTCTTTCATTGAAAGTTAAAAGGATACGAAAAGGGGTCATGAATCCAAGAGAACCGAGAGAGAACGGGACGATGGGTGGAACTGGACCTTTAAACATAGATGCAGTCTGTAGAAAAAAAGGAAAAAGAAAAAATACCCGCTATATTAGTATGAAGAATAAAAAAGCTCTACGATTCTCCTTCAAAAGGAAAACAAAAAACAAACATACCCAAAGGACAGTTCCATCTCCGCCGAGAGTTACGATAAGGTCAACCTTGGTGTGCAGCATTAGTACATCCTTGTCTGCGAAAATGAGGATAGTCCGTACAAATTTAAGTAAGTACACTTTAGAAGCGTATAATTCTCAAAAGAATTTGATCTAAAATTCGTACGAAATTCGAGGTGGACAAGAGAATAAAAGACAATCTAATGGAACTATGAAAGTGTTAGTAGCTAACCATCTTGCCAGGTTTGGACAAAGCTATAGTAAGATGATTCTGTCGTGAGCTCGGACTTCACTCGTGGCTCAACAAATATATTCAGTTTTTTCTGCTCTTTCAGCCATCTGCAAGAATTACAAACAAAAGAAAAAAAAAATCGCCATTATAACACATTTACAGACTTACTAAAAAGAGCACCAAATATCCAGCCCTCCAAGAATACTACCTGACCATTTCGGAGCATAGAATTCGGACAGAAATAGAATTTGGCTTGGTTAGAATAAGAACAGTCTGAGGAGGTGATTCCCACTTCAAGGAAATCTAAAACAATACAAACAGCTTTTCTTATTCAGAAAAAAAAAAAATCATAAGCCAGCAGTTTAGAGGAATGGAGTTAAAGAAAACGGCTAACCTGTTTGCTGCTGCGCTCTGCGGTTGTAATATTACCCTTTTCAAAAGACACCACATCATGCTTGTAGCGATCACTTTTTTCACCTTTGCAGCACCACGACAGCTTAAATGATGCCTATCCCCGAAACCATGTAAAGTTGTTCTTAGTTCAGCGAGGGAAAATAACTAAAATAACAATGTGTTGAATATAATAAATGAAATAATGTGTTCAGAAAAGTAACATGTCGAACATTAATCTTTGTGGTATAAAGAACAGACAATTAAGAAGTGTAGAAGATGATCGTAAATTGGAAAATGTTTGACCGCATTGACACACACCTTCCTTGTAAACTTGTTGGTGGAGGGAAAGCTGTCCATATCAGGTTCCCCATCACGAAGAACCTCATGAGCACAGATGTCATCTTTTCCACTGCACAGGTCGCACTGGTCACTATTGTCATCCGAAAATGCTCTTTGGTCTTCCAAACTTCCAGCTCCGTCAACACTTAACTCACTGAAATGTTCTCCCAAGGACAGAACTGCATAATATCCAACAGAAGGTAAATCTTAAAAAACAATACAAACAAAAGGTAAGTGGAAATGCCGACTCTAAAATCAAAATAAAAACCTAAATGACTTACAGAAACTAAGAAAGCAAAAACAACATAAAATAAAATTTACTAGCTCCTTGGATACATACATAATATCAAAAAATACAATTCTATGACTTTACAATATTTGTGTTTAACCTAAAAATTCACGACTTGCATAAGGTAGTTTATTTTGTGTTTTTGAAACTTCAAAGGAATCACTATTTCAGAAGCCTGACTTAGAAGTATGTTGATAGCAAGACCCAAAAAAAAAAAACATCAAGAAGATCCTAGCAGGTGAATTACATGCCTATATGAATTACGTCGTCATATGTATATATAAATGTGTCTGCGTGTGAAGAATCAAAGTTTAAACAGGGTAAATAAGGTAAATGTAAAAAGTAATCAAGAAATAAGAGGCAACCGAATTTACCAACCACAAAACAGTAAGGTTAAACGAAGAATTTTAGATGTGATCAATATCATTCTCTAACACTATTAGTCTGTTTATTTATTCACCATTACTGCGATCAAGAGTACTTTTAACATAAAAGGAAAGTTCAATTATATTCATGTTCTCTCTGTTCCCGAAAAACCGGAATCCTTTTGCGTATCAACACGTGTCAGGTTCAAGTAATAGACAAACTAACAAATTGTTCAGCTGGTGTAATTCAATCCATAAAACTCCAATTATTGCATGAAATCAAGAATCAGATTGAAGTCAACCTTTCTCCATTCGCAAATTTCGCTCCTTCTCCAGTTCATATTTTCGCTTCCACTCAGCAGCCTCAGCTTGAGCAGAAGCCTTACCTTCAGTCACCCTTCTTAAGGCCTTTGCAACAGCTGAAACCAAAATTATTCAAACTTTACAACCACAGCTACTAAAAGTTAAAAATCTCTACCACTTACAAAGATCAAAAAGCTAAACACTCACTTCTCAAAGCTTCAGAAAATTCGATCAGATGATCGTCAATTCCATGGAGTGGCGGCTGTTGAATGATTTCTTGAACTGCCTTTTCAGAGTCCAATAAAGAGAAGGAATCCAAGAAGCCATTCTCTGCCGGAGATACACTCGTGTTGCCCTGTTCATAAATATTTTACAGTTCATTTACCTCTCTGCAAATGCCAAAACTTTGCAAGTTTTTACCACAAAAGAAACACTTTAGAGCTTACTTATTACATCAAATTAGAAGCCAAACAAGGATACACCATATGGATTGAAAACTGAAATAAATCAAACCCAGCATTTCTTCTACATAAACAGTATTAACAACAGTGGGGCATCACATCATTAATGAATTGATTAATCACAAAATTCTCCACATTCTCTAGTTCTAGACACATCAAGTTTTTGCTTAATTATCAATCTGAAAGTTCTTTCTACATGTCCCAAAAAAATTTCTACTGAACAAGGCAGGCAAGGGAACAAATTAGGCGAAAAAGCACCCGAAAAGGTAGGAAAAGGCAGAAGATTCGGAAATTAACAATACAAATTAGTTTTCCAAACACAAAGGAAAGCCAACCAAACAAACAGCCAATTCGAAGGCACGGGACGGAAGCAAACAAATCAGCAGGAACACTTAACAAAGGAAAACCTAAAATCGGAGCATCCGTAAAAGCGAGGAATCTAGACTAGTAATCGAACAAGAAAGCGCGTACATTGCTGGAGGAGGAATTGCTCGGCGACATGAGGCTCTCACTCTTATTCATACGCACGTACAATCCCGCCGGCCGGCGAGAACCGCCGAGAAAAAAAGGGGGGAAACGGAGGAGTCGATCAACAACAGCAACAACAGGCAGGCAGCGAAGATGAAGTCAGGCGAACATAGAAATCAAAGTGGAGTAGAGGATCGAAGAGAGAGAGGAGAGGAAATTTTTACTTGTTATGGATGAATGAATTGAAGAAACGGGGTAGGCAAGGCATGAATGAAGTGATTGATTCGGTGGAAGCTTTGCCCGTTTCTTGTAATGTAGACTGGGGGAAGAATGGGAGATTGAGCGGGGTAGGGGGTGGGGGGTTTAGGTGGGGCCCACAGGGGGTAGACGCGTGGGAAGGTCGTGGGACGAAGAACGGAGGGTGGGACTTGGGAGGATGTAAGATATTCAGACAAAGACTTTGACTCACTGCAAAATAAATATGGATACCATTAGTTTACTTTGGTCACTTCGGTAAAGAAAAAATGGAAATAGAAAATAAAATTATTTTCATTTACTTAAGTTGCAACAGAGAAGTTAATATTTAAAAATAATTTTTTTTTTATTTTTAAATTTAAATTTTATTTTATTTTTCTCATGTAGAAAAATAAACAGAAATAAAAATAAAAAATTGTATTGTTTATTTGTATTCCTTGGCTATTTTTTTTGTTTTATTGTTTAATTTTTACTAATTTTATATTATTTCAATTTTATTAAACATAACATCTAAATTATTACTCCCTCTGTCCCATATAACATGGGCTTATTACTGTATACACGCGAATTTAGGTAAAATATAATTAATAAGTAATTAAAAAGTGTATTAGTAAAAATAATTATTATTTAGTAAAAATAATTATAGATTAAGATTAAGATAAATAAATAGTTTAATTAAAATTAATAAAATTATAAAATTTAAAATTTAAAATGCTATTAAAGTGTATAATTATATTTCCAAAAATAGAAATGACAAGTTATGTGGGACGGACGAAAATAAAAAATAGGGACAAATTATGTGGGACGGAGGGAGTATTAAAATAAACTATATGTCTAAATTAATACAACAATATTTCTCTTGTTTGTGTGTTTGATTTTGAATTTTGATTTGAATGGTAGAATTTAAATTTAAATAATTATTTGATATGATATAAATAAAAATTAATGTAATATTTTGAATATAAAATTAATTTTTAGTATAATATAAATAATAAATAATAAATATTAGATTTGATATTTTTACGAAAAAAAAAAAAATTATTAATAAAGTTAGCTAAGCAAACACACCCCTCATTTGTCATTCTCCTTCACCCCAATACACGGATCCTTCTTTACAGATCATTATATTTTTGGACAAAGATTTCATTCGGTCGATTTGATCGAATCAACATATATGATATTTATAAACAACATATATTATGCATATTGTTGTATATTTAAAACACAATATATGATATCTTATATCAGTATATATATTATGTACTATATAAAAATGTATGTTGTTTATCTTTATGACACATGTTGATCCGTCATTCTGATTTAATCGGATCAGCAAAGGAAGTCGAGTCCACTTTTATTTACATTTTTCAATCAAATTTATGTTTTACTAAACAAAATAATCATTTCCAATATTTTTTATAAATTTTTTCTGAAAAACTCCATTTTATACATTCGTATTCTCTGTATCAAAGGTATGTTGAGTACCTTTGAATGAGTTTGTTCAGTAATTTTTAATTTAATATATTTGCTATATTAAATATAAGAAAATGTAGTTTATATAAAAAATAATATTTGATTTTAAATTATTAATTTTTTAATTGTTAAAATATTATTATTTTGTCTTAATTCAAAGTATTTTTTTATTATTTTCACTCATCTCAACTCTAAATCAAAAGTATCAATATTTTATTTTAATAAAAAAAATATAATCATACATTAATATCAAAATATTTTTAACATAAATTACACATACAATTACTTTATAAATAAAATCAATATGTCAAAATGTCATAACTTATTACACACTTAGACTAATCAATAAAGTATTTTATTTTTTATTTTTAAATCTATTACAAAATCTCAAATAAATACATTCAAGTGAACCGTAGGGAGTATATTATAAATTGTCTCATTCTTATAATAGATAACATAATTGTGTTAATTTTTTTTTTTTAAGATAACATATTTGTTTAGGTAAAGAAGATTAGTTTAGATAACAATATTTTGGAATAGAATAATATTTTATTAGATTATGTATATATAGTTATTTAAAATTTAAAAGTAAATTTTAAAAATTATAGCATTAATTATTTATATTTTAAAATCAAAATCATTAAATAAGTTTAAGTATAATTATATTTATGTCCTGTATTTATCTTGCTAGCAAAATATATCTTACACTTGTACTCTGTTATCATTTTTGTTCTGCATTTATCTCCCTGGAAAAATATATCTCACATATTTACGAAAATCGTTATTTATTTCCTTTGTCCGCGCGTGACATTCACACCACGCGCCCTATGCGCGATCACGCGCGGCCAAAGAATAGAAATAACGACTTTTGCAAACATGTGAGAAATATTTTGCCAGCGAGATAAATACAGAATAAAAGTGATAATTGGGTATAAATATGAGATATTTTTTACAATTTTCCCAAACAACTACTCCGTATTAATTTAATTTATAAATATATATAATTAAACATCAAATTTTAATTTAAATTTAATAGTTCATCAAATTTTAATGTAAATAAATTTAGTAAATATTTTGAATGCAAATGATTATTGGTAATAATAATAATACTAATGCAATAGGGGTGGTGCGTGCCGTAAGATAAAATTATACCGCATCCAATATATTTTACCAAATTTTCGATATATTATTTTACTATCGATATCGTACTGTAAAATTAGTATATCAAACATTCGATATATGATATACTATATATCGTATCATACAATTGATTTACTCATATATACTATTTCATGCCAAATGCCAAAATTAAAATAATTTATAATTTTGAAAAAAAAATTTAATACTTTGGTATCAACATACCAAATTATTGATATAAATATTGATATACCAAATATTAAAATGGTATACAATATTTTTACTATATATTGAAATTATAAAAATTATTAAAACTATATATTGATTTGAATTAGCTTCTTCCGATCGTATCTCTCCCGAGATTAAAGAAAAGATAAGTAATTTGTCTTTTCAGAGCTATCGCCCAATAAAAAGATATTTTTATGACAGGATATGTTCCCAGTAAAAAAATAGTGAAATCACATTTCATATTCTTTCTCTCGAATCTGTTATCTTACCAAAACAAAATTTGATACCTTACAAAAATTTACGGTATACTAAAAATCAATTTTACATTCAAAACATCACATCAACACCTATTTATATCACTATCATGCAACTATTCAAATTCAAAATTTTTACTATTCAAATCTCAATTCAAAATCCAAACCCCCAAACAAACACACCCTTAAACAATATATTTTCACCGTCTGCCTCTAAGAATCACATTTATTTTTTGTGTGTTAATATTTGAATATTAATTATTATATCAAAATATAATACTACAAATCAATGAAAAAATACAAAAATACTTTTATTAGTATCTAATAATATGACTTGTATAAAAAAATTATATAAATATAAAAATATTTTTAATATTAAATGCAATGACAAAAAAAATAATGTAATATTTAGAAACGAACTAATAGAGTATATAATATACACTATATCTATTTACAAAACTTAATAATTTAATAGATAATATTTATATTACCTACACATTTGATCATCTCTAACATAGCAACACACCGATAAATTTATTAATGATTTTTTATTTTCTTTTTTAATATATACTTCCTCCATCCCAGAATTATAGTCTTAATTGGGTTAGACACGAAATTTAAGGAATATTGATATTATATTGGTAGTTGGTAAAAAATATAGATAAAAGATTTTTTTGCCCTTGTGAGTGTATTAGTGTAAAAAGTAGTGGCAATTATGTAATAAAAATGAAAAAAGTAGGAGTAATTTTATGGTGATATGATTATTTATAAAAATAAGACTATTATTTTGAGACGGACAAAAATAATAAATAAGACTATTGTACTGATACTGAGGGAATATATATTATTCCACAAGCATCATTACTAATAAAAATATACTCATATTTTCTATTATAATATATTATGTAAAATAGTATTTAAACTAATACTCAATTAAAACTCAAAATTTTTAAATTTCTCAATTATTACTATAGATAGGAACACATCATTTGGTTGAAATAGACTAAAAAGAAAAACATATCTCGACCTAACATTTTTAGATCAAAAAAGAAAAATATATCCACGTAATATTTTTAGATGAATTAATTTTTTTGTAAAAAATTATGTCAAAAGTATAACATATATTATTTTAAATTGAATATTTGACTATTATTTACTTTTTATAATGAGTATTTGAATTTATTATTATTTTTTTTTTATGTTTTGACTTTTGTAAAAAATTTTATGTGTTATTTATTACTCCCTCCATCTTGTTTGAAGTGAGTCATTTTGGGGTTTGTAGTAGATTGAGAAATAATAATATCTTATCGGTTAGTGGAAGTGTGTAAAAGATTTTGATATTTTTGTCCTTTGACTTTTTTCTTAAAATAATTGTACGTGTAATGGTATGTTTGTAATTTAACTAAAAATTATAGGTATTTTGGTATTAGTATATAATTACTTTTTCTAAAATTGAGACATACAAAAATGGTAAAAAATGTATTTTGAATTAAGACGGATAGAGTATTACCTTTTTATGATCACAATTTAAAAATATTGTTTGGAGAATATAGTGATCTGTCTTTGGGTGGAGTAAATACATTTTATTAGTGTGTGTAAAATATTTTTTCATAAGAAAATTTGTTGAGATAAGTAATTGCATTTCAAATAACTTTGATTCGCATAAAATTATTTAGCAAGTTGCATTGAAAACCTTTTTCAATATCTCTTTTTTTTTTTCTTTTTTTCAAAAGTCATGCACTCAAATTCTACAAATACGAGTTGAGTGAGTAAAAGAGAAGCCAATAAATCTTCTAAACACAAGAGAAGCCAATAAATTTTCTAAACACATGACTAATTTATTTGTTAGTATAAATGAGATCAACCAACTAAAAAATGAAGTACATTCAGTCCCGTTCTTGATGTTTCATAGGCTTGGGGCAAAATTCAAATTATGGGCTAAACAGTAAAAATATATCACAATAATTTTTTTA